ACCATAATGAGTGTTTAATAAGTTGACTTGTTATCAGACCCCGACTGGCGCAATCTGCTGGATTCTCAGTGGTTTTGACGTAGTTCCAGCAGGCCGGCGGCATGACGTCAATAATTTGGCGTACTCTGTTAGAGACAAATGGTTTCCAACGGTCTGGATTACCCTGTAGCCACCCCAACACAGCTGTGGAGTCGATCCAGCCGTGAACCTCGGTATTTAGATCAGGAGATAGAGCTTTCTTGACCTTCATCATAACCTTTGACAGAAGTAAGGCTCCGCTCAGTTCCAATCTTGGTAAGGAAATTTCTTTATTGCAAGGCACCAGTCTTGATTTTCCAACGATTAATTTAATTTCAGCTTGACCTGATTTTATTAACTTGCTGTAAACGACGCACGCGTATGCCTTTCGCGATGCGTCACAAAAGCCATGTAATTCGAGTCTGCACGTGGCATCGGAGCCTAACCATCGTGGTATTTTAATGCTATTTATGTGAATAATATCTTCCTTTATTATTTGCCATTCTTGATATATATCCTTAGGGAGCTTGTCATCCCAGGCCATGCTTGTCTTCCATACTTGTTGAAAGAGTATTTTCATTTTAGTAGAGAGCGGAGTTAACCACCCCAGCGGATCGAACAGTTGTGAAATGGCAGACAACAACGTTCTTTTCGTATCCTGCATGTCCTTGTTGACCTTGTAGTGAAATATAAAAACGTCTTTTTCAGGATTCCAATGTAAACCAAGAGTTTTTGTAGATTCATTTTGTTTGAAATTAAAATTACTTTGCTCTTGCTGATTTTCGTCTCGTAACTCTTGATAGTTGGACCTCCATTTTCTTAAATTAAAGCCTCCGGATTTCATTAAATTGATGAGATTTTCTTTAATTTTCAGTGCGTGACTCAGTGTAGGAACGGCGAGAACTAAGTCATCCATGTAAAAATTGTTTTCCAGTATTTTAGCGGCTTCGGGATATCGTTCTTTTTCGTCACTTGCTAGTTGGCGCAGCGTCATCATAGCGAGGTAAGGAGCGGCCTTGGTGCCGTAAGTCACTGTACTAAGTTGATATTGACGTAAGGGTTCCTGAGGTGTATCTCGCCACATGACCCTTTGAAGAGGCTGGTCATCTTCATGCAACCAAATAGCGCGAAACATCTTCTCACAATCCGCAGTGAGAGCCACTTGATATTGTCTCCACCCCAATATTAATGTAAAAATATCCTTTTGTAAGTTAGGTCCGGTACTCATGCAATCGTTGAGACTTAATCCACTCGTTGTTTTTTCAGATGCATTGAAGACTACTCGTAGTTTCGTAGTACTAGAATCATTCCGTAGCACGCAATGGTGCGGTAAGTAACAATAGGGTTCTCTATCGAGTGTCGTATTGTCGCAGCTGATAAGATTCATGTGACCTAATTCTTGATATTCGTGCATGAATGACTTGTAGGCTATTTTTAGCTCGTTATTTTTATTTAATTTTCTCTCTACCTGATAAAATTGTGCAATGGCTTTGTATTTCGACTGTCCCAAGTGATCAATATTTGACTTAAGGGGAAGTCTCACTGTATATTTTCCGTCCTTTGACCTTGTTGTCGTAGACTTATAATATTCAATACATTTAATGTCTTCTGTTGAATATGATTGGTGTTCCGGCAAATCTTCTATTTCCCAAAATTTTTGCAGGTCTTGAATATTGTTCAAAATAACATTGCAACAGAACGTTTCCACTTTTCCGCATAGTATCCATCCTAGCCGCGTTTGTTGCACGATGGGTGTCTTGTTATCAATCCTATGTATCCCATCCATAATAATGTGGGAATAGATGTCGACTCCAAATAAGATGTCAATAGGCTTGCTTATATTAAAATGGGGATCTGCCAAATCTATTTCTTGTAAAAACTGCCATTCTGGACGCCTGAACGATTCGTTAGGTAAATTTCGTGTCAGCGTCTTCATGACGTAAACATCTGTCGTAAATTCATATTCCTCCATCTTCGACTTGCACTTAATTGTTATCATTCCATTACAGATGTTGTCCTTGGTGCCAACACCCGTAATAACGCCTTTGCACCTTTGACGATTCAAACTTAAAAGCTTGGCCGCCTTTGACGTGATCAGGGACACTTGTGAGCCTTGATCTATAAGTGCTCGCATGATTTTGAATTTTCCGTCTGCTCCTTGTACTTTTATCAAAGCCGTAGCCAGTAGGATTTCAGGGGCGTTGCATTGCTGTGTCACGTGCGTATTGTTGCTAGACCGTTCGACTCGCCGGTTCGATTCTGCGTTATTTGCTGCCGACCTTGACGTCATGTCGAGCGGTGTCAAATTATTTTTCGCATATGCCGAGTGCAGTAGTGTATTATGATTTCCGTTGCACTCGCGGCATCGTTTAGTAGACATACACGTTTTCCCATTGTGATTATAAAGGCAATTGAAGCAGAGGTTTAATTTCGCAATCGCCTGTTTTTTCTGTGTCGGAAACATTTCAAGGAATTGCTTACAAAAATAAATTCCATGTTCGGTGCTATTGCATATTGGGCAATTTACTTTGTTTCTTGAATTAGATTGTGAAATAGCCTTGTTGCTAGAGAAGTTCTTGAAATAGTATGAATTGCCTTGTCTGTTTGATGCTGATGCTGTAGATAACCTTTGTTGATAATTTTCTTGTTTTCGACGAGCTGATTCCATTGTCGTGAACTTGTTTTCCAGGAATTTAAGGAACTCGTTCAAATTTGGTAACTCACGTGGTTCCTTTAATGATTCTAGATAGTCACTGTGAGTTTCAGCATCTATTTTCTGAACTAAGATATAGACTAAAATCGGATCCCAAGTGTCAATATTGACACCTAAGTTTTTGATGGCGTTTAGACATTCCGTGGTGGTGTCATGAAGGCGTTTTATGTGATTCGCATTTGCTTGTTGCGTGATGGGAAGGCTCATCATGGTGTTCATGTGGGTCGTAAAAATTAACTTTTTATTGTTGTAGCGATGGTTTAATATTTCCCAGCAGGCTGTATAATTTTCAGAGCTAATTTGTAAGTGCTGTACCAAACGCTCAGCTTCACCTTTAAGCTTGCTCTTAAGGAACTGCATTCTTTGAGCGTTTGACAAGCTGGGATTATTGTGTATAGCCTCGCTGAAAAGATCTTTAAATGAGACCCATTGTTGGTAGTTGCCATTAAAGATCGGAATGTCTAGTTGTGGTGTCGACTTTTCCCTATGTGAGACGGACCATAGCTTGCTGTTTATGGCCTTCTTGATGTCGTAATATTTTTGTTCGTGTTCTGTGAATCTTGCTTCGTACTGTAGGTTTGATCCGTTAGTTTCGCTATCTATCTCCCAGTGAAGTAAGTCTATTGCTTTCCAGCGCGCTTGAAGTGCTTTTAATGTATCTTCGAATTCCCAACGCTCTTGCATGGTGCCTATGTTGATATTAGACACCGTTCTTGAAAACGCCTTGAAATTGCTTAACTGCCTTTTGAACATCTCATCGAGCTTGCTGTAGTTGCCCGAGTTTGACGTGTTCATCATTGTGTTCCAGTCTTGTATTATTGCTGGCTCCGTTGTTTGCTCTTGAGCAGTTCCTCTGAAATTTATTTTTTCCTCTTCAACTTGTTCCTTGGATCTAGACACTTCGTTACTTACACTTGGCTGACTTGGCTTCTCTTGATCAAGGTTCTTGTTAACACATGATGGGTTGGGTTGCATTAAAGGAGGCTTTTGAGGTGTAGCACTGATACTTGACTTCTCAATGTAAAGTTTAGCATCCAAATAGCATTGTCTTGTTTGTTGGTAGTAATCGCCGACAAAATATTCTTCACTAACTGGCAGGCATTCTGAAAGCTTCTCATGATTTATCCTGTATTCATTCCAATATTTCTCCAGAGATTCGAGTCGTCTCTTGATATGCTCTGGGGTTCTACGCGATGGACCATCCTTTTTGAAATTGATAATTGTTTTCTTGATTTCTTCTGCTAATAAAGCTTGCTGGTATAATAAGTCATTTACGTCCATTTTGAGTCTTGAGTGAGTCGTGAGTCGTGAGCTTGATTATGTGAGAAAAATATTTGTTTGCAATCTCGTAAATAATTACTTGATAGATAAGGTACCTTATTTGATATTAATATTTTGGTGCGCACAAACTTGTTGGTGTGGATTTGTATTTCACAACAAAACTTCCACGATAAAACTTGCTCTTGTCACTTGAAACTTGCTGGTTCTTGATAGTTCAGTGTCCAATGTATTCGCGAGTGCTATATGCGCCTTCTCAATCCAGCCGGTGAGACCCGCTTGTGGGAGGCCGGCTGTACCGATTCGCTAACACTCGAAAATAACAAAAGGATCACTAAACCACTTCTCGAAGGACCACAATGTCGGACGGTGCCGTGATGCTGCCGAACGACCTATTTGATAGATCTTGATAACTTGATAATAAAAACTCCTTGACGATTATAGAATGTTTATTTTCTTGATAGGTATACGAGCTTACAATTACTTGATACACACACGACTCACTATACAATCAAATAATATTAAATAAGTAAACTATTTCGCTGACACGGAAACATGTGCGGTAATTAGACCGCACAATCACAAATACGGGAAGAACAGGAACTGCCTATATTCAAAAAGAAAAACTTAAGTAACTGATGAATATTTCTATTCTATCGAAAAATACCTTAATAAATTCAATTAATTTTTATTTTTTTCTTTCTTTTTTGTTAAATTATTTTTAAATGATGGTATCTCCCAAACCAAATTAAATATAATACAATTTTATAATATCATAATAATAAATGTTTAATTATCTATTATTTATTATATCTGTACAAGGTGACTAAGTCATAAGATGCTTTGTATCATGTTTAAGAACAGTTTGTAACACTTAGTTTGCAAATAAATAGTTTGAGTTCAATAGGGCCCTGGTGTTGGGCCTTTCCCAAAGTTAAAAAGGGTGGAATGTAAAATGCGGCGGAAATATTCAGACCTTTTGTTATTGCAGTGCTGGCTCGCGCGGGCACGCACATGGAGCACACGATGGTGGGCGCGTACATCGCCCTCCTGCTGGGGCACGTGGCCGTGACGGGCGGGTCGCACGCGGCCTGTGTGCGCGCGCGCGTGCCCGCCTACGCGCCTCTGCTGCCCACGCTCAAGAAGTACTACACCTTCCTGTCGCTCACCGCCAGCGTGAGTATATACCCCCGCCCCTACCACACATACACACATACACGTAAATACATACACGGAGCACACGATGGTGGGCGCGTACATAGCCCTACTGCTAGGGCACGTGGCCTGACTACTATATACGACAGATTACAGTTCCATCATACACAAAGACAGATACACACACACAATTACACACACACACACGCACACACACACACACGCACACACACACACACACACACACACACACACACACACACACACACACACACACACGCACACATACACATACACGTATATACATCACGGAGCATACGATGGTGGGCGCGTACATAGCCCTCCTGTTGGGGCACGTGGCCTGACTACTATATACGACAGATTACAGTTACATCATGCAATAATCGTGATATTGATTTGCAAGTGTACATTTCAATAATAATAACGCACTTTAAAACACGACAGGTACTTAGGATAATTTATTTAACATAAGTGTCTATTTTATTAACACGGGATCTATATCTTGTGCTGTTTTGTTTTTTGCGAGTTTTTGATTAATTATAATAATAGCTAATTGTTTCCTTGTCGTTAGTGAGACTAGTGCCAAAGACAAAGCTGCAACAGAGTATGACATGTGTCTTCTCGGTTCGTATCGACGGGATTGTAGTTTAAACGGGAATAACTGTTGTTTATGGGAATAATTATTTTTAAGCTTTAATTTCCGCCCGAGTCGTCTTTATTCGTTTCGCATCTTTGTCAGACTCACCATTGTATAAAGTAAAACTTAATTGTGCGTGAGGATCATATCGAAGTAATACCCAACTAATTAGAAATGATAAAGAGTACGAACTGCGCTAATAAGTGATTCCACGCATACTACTATTAATCGGGCGAGGCGAAAAAACTGCGATCAACACGCCGATGGGATTGGTTGAGATTTCCGTTTAAAATTATGGATGGGATAGCCGAATCATTTGAAATTATTTGATTTGTCAAAGTATTTCGTATTTTTAGTGTGTGTGTCGCGCGAGTATTGAAATTTAGTTGTGTGAGTTTGGAACCCTGTTTTAGCAGGCTTTATTAGAGCTTATTTCTAATTCGTTGGTAATATCCAATAACTATATTTTTTACTTTAACTTTATCAATGCTTTTTCTCGAATAACTTTAAATAATAATACTTTTATCTAATTTTACAGGCCGAAGCAGCGATAGTGGCGCACGTGAAAGCCACGCAGCGCATCATCGAGTTTATGGAGAACAGTGACAAGGAAGATCTTCAAGCAGCAACAGCTCCTCAACCGGCGGCGTTGTACAGCGAATCTTACCCTGGTAACTATTACCAGAGTTCTCCATCAGACATGCCCCAGGACATGTCCCTCAGTAACCTCAACTACAGCATGACCAGTGTCAATGCGAGCTATAGCAACTCTAGCTCCGACAGACTGTCCACTATGGAGGTCGACGGCTACCACTGAGACTCGCATCAAGATGACATTGAGTTATATTAATCTCATCACACTCAAAAACAAACATTACAAACACGTCAAATTCCTAATACTTAGTGACTATACATTCGCAGTTTGTGCAGTGTGGCGTTTCGTTTGCATACACGTAAATGTTTTCTGTCTGGCGTCGATTTCGTTCGTCTACTCATTGAATGAGGTCGTTTGATTTGATAAGACATGTAAATATAGACCAAATCATGAACCGAGTCCTTGTACATTGTGAACCCACTTTTAGCAATAGATCACATGCCATTTTGTTAAAATTACCATTCTCTAGGTGGCGGATGTTTTATTGCGCACTACTATATGTAAAACCTCTTCTTTTTGTATCGATATCTCTTCCTTCTCCTAAATATTATTGTAAATATAAATCGCAGACTGTTAAGGAATAGTTAGTTGTGTTGATCATGGAAATGGGTTATGAAGTCTTAATTAAATTGAGATATTCCGAGTTTAAGCCACTGAACTGGCAATATAAAAGTGCAAAAATAGTTGTGTAAGTGTATATTATATATGTATTCTTTTATGTGAATATTGTGTCTGCACTTCTTTTTGTATAATACCGCTCTGAGAGGGTTAAATTTTTCTAGAATATTGTTCTATTGAGGCACAATAGTTTATTGTAAATAAATTTTAGCTAGTTACAATAGTTCGGTCTTTGTTGAGTAAATTAGGACGAGTAGGCATGGTTAATTTTATAGTGTCGTTTGAGATTTTGTGAGTCGCTGGTGAGCCTCGGGTGATGGCACGATCAAACTATATTTGTACGAGATGACAGACCGGTGAGGGCTCGCTGTTCAATGTACAAACACTTAAGTCGTTAGATGCTCGCAAATGAGAGAATGATATATGAATAGATAATTTTAATAGGACAATCTATGATGTTTGAACTTTTAACCATAGTTGTTAGGACTAAAGTTGCGTTGACATGCTCAAAGTCTGCTTTGGCAATGTAGCTTTGTTTGATAACTAGTTTGACGATACTTTAATCGCATAAAACAGTAATCACAGCTCACTTTGATGTTGGCGTCCAATCAAAGGCGACTTGGACTGTGTTCGACTTTTAAAACCAACTTTGATGTGAAACACAGACCAATAAGAGCACAAGATGTGAAAGAACGAAAAAAATGGCGTCTAATGTAAAACCTGCTAAGTGCGAGTCAGACTCGCGCACGAGGAGTTCCGTACCATTATCAATTCAACCTTAGACACTATATTATAATATCAACCATAAAACAGCGAAAACGCGTCTATTGTACGGGAGCTACTCTTAATTTATTGAACTTTGTTGTTCAATAAATGGTTAATGACAAAGCTACTTTGTCAAAGCAGACTTTGAGCATATCAACGCGGCTTTGAACAGAATGAGTGATTTATTATAATCCTCCCTTGTGTGTCTTGTTTTTAAAAGACTACCGTTCAAGACCTGACTGATTGTCCAATAAGATATTTCTATTTTATTTTTGACGGTAATATTATATTTCCTTTTATATTAACAATGTTAAGGCACACGAACTACTTAATCTTGTATTCAACTGAACATTTGGAAATTCCACACTAGATCGAAACAATGAAATTTATGTTGTATAGCTATTATACTAAAATGAACTATAGGATAACTTTTTAAGATTTGTTACTAAATTATGTCGTAATGTGAAATCAATTTAAGTCGGAATCGATTTTGTGTATTAAATTGTTTAGGTATTATGTAGTGACATTTTGATTTTGTAATGATGATTATATTAACATAAGGTTTAACTAATTCAGTTACACCATTTAAATTTAATAAATTTAATTCTAAATGCACTCTTTCTCAAACGGTGTTTGCAATTACTACATACTACTTACCATTTTTAAATCGTAAATTTCATAGATCATACAATATTTTGTTTTACTTTGACTCAGTAATATGGCACTGTCTAGCTCGTTATATATATATTAAGATGCGCCCTTTTGACCTCTGATTGTTTCTTACTTACCTCTGATATCTTTTCTTTTTGGTCTTTGATACTATGTGATAACAATAAAAGGGGCATAATATAATGTAACACGCAATAAGTGACAGTAATACTGCAGATTGTCGACACTGTTAGTAGTTCAGTTTTTTTATTGGCGTCAATTACTGTAAACAGAGCATTACACTCATTGGATTCGTTAAGCGATCTAGTGTCGATCGCATATAAATATTATAGGTCGTTTGTTTGCCTGTATACAACATACTCTGTGTTAGTTGCAAAAACTTGATTTTAACGTTCAATGGCCGTTTTTGAAGCGATATTTTCTGACAGCTTTACTTATTTAATAAGGTTTTGTTGATATGATTTCAAATAAGTGTTTGTACGTGGTTGTATTTGTTAAGAATTATAATAACATGAGGGGTTTCGTTTTATTAATTAAAAGACTATGGAATTACTTCGTGTTCTTTGTACAGCTATATCGATTCTTAATGCCTAAATTATATTTACGTAATTTATTGATCTATGTATATGTAAAAATGGTGTAGTTCTAAATTGCATTTCGTTGTGAAATGGTGATTATTTTATCACATCTGTGTTTTGAATATAATATGTTGTTTTAGACTATCGCCAGAGTTTGAGAAATTATTATTGTATATGTAACGTGTAATTATGTTATAAAGTATTACATGTAATTATTAAAAGAAGACAATTTAAATAATCTTTGTTTTTCTTTTCAAACAACCCCTACACTTCTTATAAGTGCACAAAATAACCTTAGCTATCTTTTTTTTTTTACTTTTTCCTTTTAACTGTATAGAAATACTTTACTATTAAATACGAAAGGATTTTTATGAATTGTAATCAATTTTGATAGCTCTCCTTTCTCAGTACCGGGCCTGCGATCTTAAGATGCCTGTCAGACATGGCTTCTTATAATGTATTCCGCTTATTTCTTGATAGACAAACTCCTTATTACTATACAATATCTTATATATAAAATTCTCGTGTCACAAATTTAGTTACCATACTCCTCCGAAATGGCCTGATCGATTTTTATGATATTTTATATGCATATTCCGTGGGTCTGAGAATCGGCTACTATCTATTTTTCATATCCTTATGTGATAATGGTTGTCCACCGTAGTACCACCACGTAGTATTCTGAAACCTACAATGCGCATTCGCGCCAAAATTCAAACTATTGGGTATGGTAACGTAGTGTTCTCATATGGGTTAGGAGGAATGTTATCCCAGGAAATTGATAGAACACTACGTTACACACCAATATTTATTTTTGTTATAATATGGTATTAAAAATACATACAACCCTAAATTTTCTCTTTTACCACCTGCCCCTATTTTTATGGCAGTACAAAGTTCGCTGGGTCAGCTAGTAATTACATAAAATCATCAATGGAAGGGGTGTGCGGTAGTTCGTGAACCTTAGTTTTTTAGAAGAAAGCAGCAACACACCAAATATTATACATCTTACATTCTGACGCATCGTGCCAGAAGATGAATGAGTGAGATGATAATAAAAATAACAAAAACTGGAAATAAAGAATAAGATTTACCGACTGATATGGGAAAGTGGTGAGAGTGAGAGCCAGCTTGATGTCTTCCTCGTACTTGTGATTGTGACGCAGCAATTGTCGTCAATAATTAATTACGTCATGTTAATGATAGTTTTTTCTTTTTACTTTTTAAAACCTTGATTCCCAGGGTGGGTCTCACTATTCCCGTTGAGCTTTACCATTGACGGTAATAGAGAAACTACTTATTTATTATGTACTATTCACGTTGCGTTTTTATACCGCGACTAAGAAGACGCTTGTTTATTTCAGCAAGATGTTGACCGATATTTGTAAAATAACTGTATATAAAATCGACAGACGTTATTTTCGATTTATTTAGCTTATGCCTTCAATATTCTATTGGCATACTGATAGAAGGTCCAACATTTTTTTATCTGTTGGGCCTGTTACGCATTAAAATATGATACAACATTTTATTATTGTTGATGTCAAGAGATGACGCTGTTTATTTTTTACATCGCGATATGATTTAGGTTCGTTTTTTTGGTTAAGTAATAATAATAATCAATCATGTAAAAGTCTACATCATCCTTCTCTCAGAGGATGATCGCTTCAGATGAAGCTTGTCAGGCCCTTCCGGAAGCATAAACTACGGGTGTTTTAGTCAGTAAGAGTCTGACATAACCTTGCAGCCAGCTGTAGGGTATCCATGAGGATTTCTCACCCGCCCCACCCGCAGGTGGGGGAACCTGGGAGATAACAAAAAAAAACATGTAAGTGTCGCCGCACACAGGGCACACGCCAAAGAAAAAAAAACATAAGTGTCACGGCACACAGGGCACAGGCCACAGCCACAAACGCCGCCGCCACGAAAAGCTAAGCTAGAAGCGGCTTACTAAAGTGGCTGAAGCGCGCGACAGCGGCCGATTAAGGTAAGGGAGAGAGGGGTGGGGAATCGCGCGAGTGACGTGTGGCGGCGTTTTGTATCGGAGCATTAAGTGGCCTGTGCGGGCCACAGGAAGCGAGCAACATTTGTAGCGTGTGGCGGACACTGGCGTACCGTGTGTGGCGAGTCCATATAAAATGTATGAAAACTACAAGAAATATGCCGGTGGCGGCGTTTTGTATGTGTGGTCGGTGGCCCGAGGTGCGGCGACACTAAAAGTTTGGCCGATTTTGGTTTTAAAATGTAGCTCCAATTCATTGAACCGTTCATTAATATTGATCTTACTTCTGGGTTATGCTAATGCTTTATCAGTATATCGTGGAATTATGTCCTTCTACAAACAAAATCTTCACGAATCGGTTTTGATTTTGTTAAATACTGTTTAGTATTTTTAGGAAGAATTTAGTGATTTATATGTTTGTATTTTTTGCTATGGGAAAATACTCTTGGAACAGGTTTATTAATTATTTCAGTGTACTCGTACTTCTAAAAGTCAGTATGTGTTTTGCCTAATACGACTCATCTCAAAGAAAAAGTAGCCTATAACCATCTCCAAGATACTATCTATCTGTACGTATAAAATATATATGATAATAATAATGATAAAAATTTTACATATAAGTGACTTAGATCTAAGAAAAAACAAAAGGTAAAGAAAAATACATAATCGATTCGATGGTTTAGGCACGGTAATAATATATATTACCGTGGTTTAGGCGTGAAAGCGTAACAAACAAACAACACTCTCGCATTTATAATATTAGTTAGGATTAGAATAGAAAAGGATTTATGATAAATCCATAAAATCTTCACCCATAAGTAAATTTAAAACGTTGCTGTCTTTTATAGGCTTGTTGAAAATATCTCGATGTATCGATATATCGATATTTTTTGCCGATATATTTTGATTCGATATATCGATACATCGATACAAAATCGAAAATCGAAATATCGTATCAAAAACGATATTTTTTTAATTATTAGCGGCATATCACGATCTAACTAAATTCGTATCTGGAAAAATCGTAACTGGATCTCAGATTAATGATTTTCATCATTCGAAAATAGGGTCTATTTTTAGGGAGATAATTTTCGTTCCATTATTATTCCGCGTGTCATATTTCGTGAGCTACTGTACGACATTTTTGGGAAAATTGATCCGATATATCGATGTTTTTTTCGCGATATATCGAAGCCGATATTGATATTTTTTAAAAGATCGATGTATCGATATATAGATATTTTTTTCAACTTTCGACATCCCTAGTCTTTTATCGAATCATTATATTATATACTAAACGCTAAAATGCATATCTTTGTCTGATAATAACGCTAAAGCTAAACCATACCGCGCTGTAAAATGTTGCTCAGCGCCATCTACAAAATTCGTAACTTTACAACCTTATTTCACCTCTTATTTAAAGGACTTTGAAAAAACTAATATGCATACTTTAATTACTCATTTTAACAACAACAATTCTGCTGAAGAAGTTACACTTCCCTCACCCCACCCCCATTAAGTTTCTTGAGGAACAAAATAGATTATAACCGTCTCCAAGTTGCCATCTATTTGTATACCAACATTTATGATAATCGATTCAGTGGTTTAGACGTGAAAGCGTAACAAACAAAAAAACAAAACTCAATTCCGCATTTATAATATTAGGATAAAGAATAGTGGTCGCCTGAGATTTCGTCCGCGTTAACTTTAATTTTTTGAAAATCCCAAAGGGAATAGTGAGACCCACCCGATTCCCGAGAATTATTAAAACTCCTTTGATTTTAGATAGATTAAATTCTAGACAATGGACCCAATTCTTTAAGTCTAAATTGAACCGAGTGTGATAGCGATCTTTATATTTTATTTTTTATGGAGCATGATAAGGATAAATTTGTTATAAAACTTATTTTTTGGTTTAGAGTAGGTACTATACTATGCCCGAAATTGCAAATAATTTTATTACAAAAAAAATGGTAACACCCTATTGCGGGTAATAATAAAATAATTATTAGAGTAGCAACATTTATATAAGTTCCTTCTAACAAATACAGGCAAAACAATCTTTAGTTCAATTCTAAGTAGTTATCATTAATATCCGGTAGGTACCTACATACATATAAAGAGGAACGTTATTTTATTTTAAACTTCTACAAAAGTAATATAAGTAACAATACGTAATTATTCATGATTCTCAACGATTATTGTGTAGTCAAAGCAGTCTAAAAGGATTCTATATAGGCGGAACAGCTTCAGCGTGTGCTACGGCAGGGGCACGGACACCCTGCCAATCACCAGTCTCCGTGTACCGTTTGTTTACACTCATTAATTGCTCAAAGTTCGCTTTCGCAAGCTTATGTTTGTTACGAACCTTTTGCACTAATTCTTCATCATAAACTTCCTCAGGAGCTTCGAGCTTTAAATGTGCTTTCATTTCCTGAACGGTGACCAAAAAACAATTCCAAGGAGACCAATCTTCATTAACATGCCAACGACACAATCTAAGCTCGTTCATATCTGTACATTCACTAATAGCAGAATGCGATTGCCATAACTTTTCTACTATGAAAAATACATCTTTCTCTTGCAAAACGAATGCCAAAGAGCCCCAACACTTACGACGCCGTTCGTCACGTTGAACAGCGCGAAGAATAAATTTATAGGGAGTCATATCAATCCACAATCTTTCAGAGACATCCTTCCACGAACATGAAGTGCAAACGAAAAAGCCACTTATTTTAGTGTTTAATGGGAAATCGTTATGAGGTTTCACTTGATGACACATCTCACAGAAATGCAGTCTACCGTCCGCCATTTTTTTGTAATCTCTGAGATCTTTGCATTTAGTTACACCTGAATTTAACTCAGAGGTTTTTATCAGTTGGAAAACGGAAGCAGCTATTCTACGTCTGAGAAATTCGATCTGGTAGTTATTGCATCTCCTCACAAGAAGATCACATTCCCTATCCAAGAGTGTAATAATCTCTTCAGCAAGCGGATGTCGGAATTCTTGTAAAGCAAACTTCATGTCGACTAATAATTCCATACGTTCGTTTACGTCCATATCTTCTCGTATAAAACAATTGTATAACTCTTTGAGCTTTCTCGCTTTTTGTATTTCTATAGTGTCCATGGTAATTATCTTGCCGTCTCTTCCAAACCAAGCTACAGGTTTCGATATCTCTTCTAAGAATTTTTGATCTTTTGTCTTCTTGCTATCTTCTTTCACTTTCACTCGGTATGCCTCAATACACCGTAACAGTTCGACTTCTTTATCGAGAAGCAATGTAAATTCAGCAATTTTTGGACCTTTTGAATGTAATTGTGAAATCCTCGCTATTTCTGCGTGTTTCCAACGATCAACCTGAAATTTCAGAAAATTGGATAAGGTACGCGCCTTTGTTTGACCTTTTGAAAATTTAAAAACTTTCGTATTCCTCATTCTGATCACAGGTAAGCTGCTTAGGCTTAAAGGCATCTCATAGTTTTTTTTGTGATGGGCCAAGATAAGTTTTATAAAAACAAACCATTGCGTATAGTTGGTCGAAGTCCTCACGCGTTTTGGGAAATGTTTTTGTTATGAGGTCTCTTCGTAGTCGTCTCTCCATTGCCTCTCTTTCAAGTTTTTCTTCTTTCTTCATTCTGTCTATTCTTTCTCTGTAAGAATAGTATAATTTATGAAATTATATACCTTTGCCAAAGTATAGTCGATCACTTGAACATATTTTCCTTGTAGATGTTATATTAAATCTCTATTCCATAGACGAATAAATCGGGAAATTACGTATAATCATTGCGTCCAAATTACCTCAGTGTCTCAAGACAAAAGTCTTAGACCAATGTGTGTTGCCAGTGATAACTTACGGAAGTGAAACGTGGTCGCTTTCTGTGGGTCTCATAAAAAGGCTTAAGGTCGCACAGCGGGCAAAGGAGAGAACGATGCTTGGTATTTCCCTGCGCGATAGAATCAGAAATAAGGAAATCTTTAGGAAAACTCCGGAGGAGTGGCAGTGGGCGGTACACATAGCGAGGAAGACCGATGACTGTTGGGGTGGAAACGTTATCGAATGGCGATCACGCACCGGACGATGTTCCGTAAGAAGGCCCCAGGTGGACCGACGATCTGGCGAAGATCCAGAAGCCGATGGATGCGCGTGGCACAGGACCGATCGATGTGGAGATCCTTGGGGGAGGCCTATGCTCAGCAGAGGGCGTCGTACGGCAGAGATGATGATAATGAAACGAATAAAAAGTAAAGAACAAAAGCACAGATAATTATTACCTGCATTCACGAAGCCACCTGTCCACCATTTGTCTGAACTGATGATGTCTATACGCTTTTTGAATAATGCTAGCAAAATGATTGTGGTTTAGACGGGTCACCATCTGATCGTAAGTTTCATAAGGCTTAGGAATTATAATCTTGTCAGTCACATTGGGTATGTAGGCATGCACCGTGTTCATTTGGATAGCTCTGCTGTAATTTGTATCCTGAAAATAAATAATTAATAACATCATCATCAGCTCTTGTGCGTTATTTCATATTACGTTAATAATATTACGTAAACGTGGACATAAAAACTTTACATAAATCTTTTCCCTTTCTTCGGCTGTTTGAGTGTCTCTGCAATTTTTTCTATGTGGTGGTATTTTTTCTGGTTTTTGTGGCGTCTGTGTATATGCATGATGGTATTCTAAACCTGAAACAAAATCGAGCATATTTCATCAAATAAAAGCTAAGAAACAATTATCAAAATTTAATATGCACACATAGAAAACACATTAGTTTTATCTTTGTGTAATTTTATACTGATAATGCATTACTACTATTTATATACTTATTAAATATTTTTGTACCTGTGTGGACATTTCTATAACCTCCCAGATAAGGTTTTTTCATTGGTTCTGAGAAAATTTCAACATTGATTTGTTTAACAGTCGTCCCAAACGGTACCATAACACTCAACACATCATGGATTGGCAATTCTTTGTAAAGTTTATCTAAATTAAGTTTTTCATTTTGTTTCATTACTAATTCCACTTCTGATATACCATATTTATCATAGTCAAGGTCATGTAAAGCCATTCGGTCTTTTAAAGGATGTTCCCCTCTCATTAGTACTATATTATCAGGGTCAACTTGAAAAAGTCCGGCCAAATTCTTTTTAATTTCATGTATTTTTATTATGGAATGGTACGATCGTGTGAACACTGCATTTTGGTTGCTAACCCTAAATTTTATAGCTATAAATGGTATGGCTTTCTTCTTTGGTATAACCGAATGTAGCAGTTCATGTACATACGACTCCTTAGGTATCGAGGATAAAGAAAAGTCGTCAGAATTTTTTGTGAACACGTCTATCACAAGATTTCCAAGCGGATCAGCTTTCAAATCGGACAGCAGACTAGTATCTTTGAGCACAGTCCTTTTCCTGGTCAGTAATAAGTTACTGTTTGACACCGAGAGCAATTTGGCCAACTTGCGTTTTACGAATTTGACAGGCGTGTTCGCCGGGAAGACTTTACTGAACACTTCACTTGGGTGTAAGGGAGATTTGAAAGTAACCAGGATATGGCTGACAGGGCAGTTGTATTGCTCCAGATCCCTGGCACAGGGGGCTGTGGGATATCTTGATTTAATTTCTTCGTCAGGACTTGAAGAAAAGCGCTTGTAGGGTGGAGCTGTAAGTAGTTTCTCTCTACCAAGTTCACATTGGCACGCAATCACTCCCTTTACACATTCAGGATTTGGGGCAATTCCTATTGTTTTTTGAAACTCCATTGGGTTGTACCTAAATAATGATTTGCTACACAAACCCAGTAGGATAAAATAATATAACAAAATAACAAATTTCTTTGGCTCGATTTATACAAATTGACTGAAACAATGACGTTTGATATAAACAGATTAATTATTTATTTTGCTAGTGACGGTTGCTAAGGAACCACAATTATAGACTTCCCTAGCGAGATTCTTCGTCCAAGTTCCCTACAGTAATTGAGCCTTTTTTATGGCAGTTCGAATGGGCAGGTCAACGAAATTGTTGTTGAGCTGAGGATATGAACTTATGATTTCACTACTACATCTCGACAATGCTACTATTATCCATGTGGTAAACAAGCACGCAAACCGTTTGCTTAGCCTGACTGAAACTCCAGAAAAGTGATTTTGCCAATAATGTTATTGTCTATATAAGAAAGTTACTATAATAATTTTAAATAGGTAAATTTTAAAGAAAAACGTTTTACTTGTTAATTTACTTGTCGATCCCTGGACTCGGACTGTACTTAGGAACTAGTGATGTAACGAATATTCGCATTCGCAAATATTCGCATATTTTTGAATATTCTCATTCACATTCGCATTCGCAAAATCTCTGCGAATGTTTTGCGAATCTGAATAATAGAAAAAAACAATTTGAAGAAGTTGTAGTTCTGCCTTTCCTTGAATATTCATTGTTACATAGTTTGCATTTAGCTCGTTCAGGATCGCAAAGTGTGAAATAGGTCCATGTTTCACTAGAATTCGATTTACTCATGTTAATAAATCACTATTACCACTCACAATCACTAACCTCAAAATTCACTTGTTTTGTTTACGGAAAGACCTGTGCGAGCGGAATGACACTTCAGTGGGATTAGTTCATATTAACTCGGCAATTCGAACGAGATTGCCACCATGCCATAGACGTTGGCGCCAATTTAAAAAAAACTAAATATTCGCATTCGCGAATTTCGGTACCAGACAGTCGCATCCGCATTCGCATTTGCGAATGTTCAAAAAATGACATTCGTTACATCACTACTAAGAACCAAACAAGTCTAAACATCGATTGTTTATAAGAGATTGGTAATAATAATTAAAGTTGCGAATTTTCTACATGTCTTCATGGGATGTGCATGTGTATTTAATTTAATTATTTAATTTATTGAAACTGTCTATTCTCTGTTTGGAAATAAAAAAATCCAGGCTTAACGAGACTTCTTTTTATTTAATTTAGTTTTCAATGAAGTATTTGCAATTTTTAAAGTATTCCAGTAGGAATACTTTAAATACAACGTCGATTCGTTCGATTTAAAATTGCATCGAATTACCTACCTATATTAAAACCACGCTTTTGCTACAACCCCGGTCAGCTGTAGTAAACGCGTAAACCTTTGTTCGTGAAAGATAAATTAACCGCGCAGCTTTAAAAACTGTAAACTCCTTTGAAAACAACAATACAGAAGGTGTTACGCCTCCAGCGTTTATAAATGGATTATATCCTAGTGGAAAACTCTGAAGCAATTATCTGTTTTCTTTGTAAGTTCAGATTTCATACAAGTTTATTATTAGTTCAGCTTTATTATAAAATTTTCATAAAGTTATAGATCACTTTATACACAGAAGTAAATATCGATCTTTTATAACAGAAACCTAAGTAGGTGGTTGATAGTTAATAAAAATTGAGAAAACAATAAAATTACAGCGCCATAAAAGAGCGAATGTGCGGAGCATAGCTAGCGTGATATTAAATTCCACCGAAACATAAAAATGATTTTCGATCGTAAAAGTATAATTTACAGACGTAAAAATGCGGTGAGTTATATGTTACCAACTCTAAAGTCTGAGATGTGGATTTGAGGTAAGTATTGACTGCTGTTTGTTGGTTCCTAAATTTATGACAAACAAATTTATTAAACTTTAATTCACATATTTTAATATGTATCATTGTTGTATCATTCAGTATTAGCAAGAAGAATGTAGATGGTTGTATATGATAAACACAGTAAACAATAAAATGAGGAACTTCACAGATGCCTGCGTTTAAACAATTTATTTAATCATGAAAACGTATTTCTTTATTTATGTCTGATGTGTCTTTAAATATAATGCCTACCTATATTATCTTTAGTCATTTCTTTTGAACATAAACATTATTTATTGTTATGATTCTTTTTTACCTTATAAGAACGATCATATTTCACTCACGATATGCTACAGTTCAAAGCCTTAATATCGAGTGGCACAACTGCAAAGCTAATGCAAGCTACACTGGTGCTCTAGTGAAACCTCAAGCACCCCAGCGGTTGTTAACTAACCCGCTATATTATTGCGTTTGGCCGGTTAGGTCGTGCGTCTGTAAACACATGTTTTAATCAAGCCTGTTGCTTGCTTCCGTTTGCTGCGGCCACCCCTCTCAGCAAAGAAAAACTTTGCATCTGTTTTATTACGACGGATGCGGATCGCCCCCCGGGCTTAATTTCGATGCCAACGTATCTAGCTTTGTTTTATTTTATGACTGTAAACGTTTATAAAAAAATATGCTTCCGGTCTGTTGTTTGGGCAGCGATTGCTTTTGGCGTCGTGTCGTGAATTGGGAAAACCATGGTTTTTTTGTTAATTACATAATGTCTACAATCTATATGCTTATTTTACTAGATTTTTTTCTCTTTTTCATGCACACATTTAGAAACACTATTTCGATATATATATATACTAGCTGTCCCAGCGAACTTCGTACTGTTATAAAAAATATGGGGTTGGTGGTAGAAATGTGAAAGTTTAAAAAACAAACATTAATAAAAAAAATTGAGTCCACATAACATTTAGGGGGATGAAAAATAGATGTCCGATTCTCAGACCTACTGAATATGCATATAAAATTTCACGAAAATTGGTCTATATTTAGACACTGGTGTGGTCTTGCAAGCTGGATTGGAAGTGTAAAAAACAACAAAAAACTACTAAATTCTTTGTTGTGAATATCAAATACGGGGAGTATTTGATATTCACAAGTCAATAAAAAATATACGTCCTGTTAGCATGAAGCTAACAAGTAGGAAGTATGAAAATCTTTTAAAGATTGTAAAACAACCTACATCTCACTCATACTACAGTCACAAATAAGTATTCCCAATAAGCTTTCTGCAAAATCGACCAGTTGTAAGACCTATGTATGTATGCATCTATATAGTTATCTATCTCGACATACATTTTGTATTCAAGGGCAGACGATGACGCTTTCTTCAGAAAACACACGTAGGCCCTAAGGGCAGAAGTACCCGTTTAACTGAATTTAACAGTACGCACACTAAGTTATTACAGTTAGATAAATTCGGATAAATTTATTCTAAGAACAGTGCCCTTATTGCTTCGTAATAAAGTTTCGATCAAATTATGTCTGTATCGACGAGGTCTTGACTGTACTTACGTATTAATTTGTCCCCAGTTATTTACAAAACCTTACTTGACATTGCAAAATAACCTAAGTATTTTTATTTGTAGGACGTTGAATAAAAATATACCGAATTTTGTTATGCTTAAAGTTTCTATTGTACGTAACTACTTAATATAAATATTTTGTGATTAGATGTCTCGATAATAATAATCAAAATATCAAATTAAGTTTTTATATGAACACTTTATATTTGTAAATTATGTAATTCGTATCTAAATTCCACAAAAAAAAAGATCTTGTAAAATATTCTTGAGATTTAAACATCTACCAGTTAAATGCTTAAAAATAAAACTATTGGTTATAATTTAAATAGGGAAGATGCATATATAATATTTATGAAAATTTTATGATTAAAATGTTAAAAAAATATAAAAGAAATGCCACTGCAACGTTTTTATTTTACATAATGTTGTTTTTTAACAATTATTAGGAATTAAAAATACTTGAAACAGAACGTATTTTAAAACACCAATCAGCGTTTAGTGACGTCACTCCTGTTATGACAACTTCTTTGAGGTTATGGTTGTTAAAGTAAATATTATTTTATGGGAATATTAATTGCGTTTTTTTACATTTAATAAAAATGGAAGTTGCGTTTATCAAAGCAGACTCCAGGAATTTACCAAGAGTTAGTGTTGACATGGTTATAACTTTTTTTGTCCAAAGTGCAGAGTTTTTAAGTGTAGAAATGAAAGGGACTGAATTACTACGGTATGTAAAAATCGTAGTTGGTAAACTTCGTATTTTATTCAGCGGCTTCTACAAATCTTACGGCGATAATGCAATCGGCTATGTCCAAATTAAAAAGGATGGAGAATTATGTACAGTAAAAGGTCGAATTCTCCGGAGCATAAAGTACGTAAAGAAGGTTATCGTGTTACAGTTATTTTAAATGAAACGCAAAGCTTGGTTCAGTCCTGCCAATGTGAAGATTGTGCCACACATTTTAAAGTTTATCGAATTTTCGACGTCATTCTCCAACTGTAAAATTAAAAATATGTTATAGACAGGTTTTGTAAGTATTAGGTAGGTTACTAATGCGTTTTTACGTACAAGCAGATTAATTAAGCATATAAAAAGTATATTCGCCGACTTACGTCAAAGTGATCTTCACAGCATCGAATAATGGTCTTTGGAGAATAATTGTCATTTCTCTTCGCAGCTTGAAACCACTTTTTTTCAGTTTTCGGTCAGAAGTTCCAGTCAAAAACAATTTATTTGGAAACTTTGTTGAAGTAGATTGGCACAAAACATGAGTCAACACGGCTTTTTTTCGGAATATTAGTGGTATTGTTATGATCACATGATGTTGATGGATAGTCCATTTTAAATTTTTCAAAAAAATATTTCGAAAGTCGAAAAAATATGCAAAAGTATGAAAATTTAAAGCCAGCGACGAACAAGTACGACCAGTGACAGACAGGAGTGACGTCATCGCAACCATAGGTTCGTTTTCGCGCGAAAATTTAAATTGTCAATTTAAAACAGCATTTTTTCCGATAAATCACAATGTTTTAATTTTTTAATATATCTGTGGTTTATTCTACATGGAATTCTTTAAAATGAAAACAAAAATAAAAATATTGCATCTTCCCTATTGTCCAAGTTATGACTAAGAATTTGGAAAGTGATTGACGTGAATCAACTTAATGTTCTTTGCCATCTTAG